ATCGTGAGAATTCACTAGAGAACACTCAACTGCACAGTATGTCCAGATGAATTGTTGTGATGAATACTCAGTACTAAGTTCCAATGTTGTCCGTCGAGCCGGATGGGCCCGAGTTCGGATGGGTTGTATATTTGAAAAGATTACGAGTGTTCACAAATTTGGTGAACTTCTCGCAAGTCTCCTGGTCTTCGCAAAGGGTAATGAGATCGGATGACCAACTTTGACCCTTTTGTAGGCAGTGGTAAATAAGTTCTTCCCGCTGGATATTGTAGTACAGCTAAGGACGTAGTGGAGGGCGTCCCCCACAGTGGTGCCATCGTAGTCACATTTGTCATCGCTAATCTTCTTAAACCTAGCTAGGTAGGAGGGGAAGTTGCCGTGGCCCGTGAGGAACTGAATGATGGCATGAGTAGAGGTGAAGTGTTGTAACTCTGTCTCTTAAGGATGGATGATAGGAAGTAATCTACACTGCTACATTTTGCGACAATATGCGTAAAAGTCCAATGTCGGTGCAAGGGACTGACTTTGAGACTGCTTCTTTCTCACCAGATCAAAAATTCTCGTGGCAGTCTTTGCAAGAGCAGGACGAAGATCATCTTCCACAATAAGTCTACTTCTGTATTTAGACTTGATAACAAACAAGTTGGAAAACTCTGTTTCACAAAGATATGTTGTTGGAAATGGACACAGTCTCAAACAGAACAGGATATGACAGCAAACACTTGATTCAGAATTTTGTAACTGGCATTGTAGAGAAATCAATTCTCGCTGCATCGCTGTTAATAAGTTCAATGAACTCCTCTCTCAGGAACATCTTCAACTTTGAATGTGAATGGGCAAGTGCAAATGGGGGTGTCAAGTAGATTTGGAAAGTACAATGAAATTTCGTTTGCAAGCATGTGCAAGTGTTCTTTCACAGAAATTATTGTAATCCTTTTGTCTGGTTCAATGGTTAAAGGCAACCCATTAACACAGACAAATGTGAAAGCGTGATAATTGATAGGAATGCGCCACTCGTCAAGAAGCTTGCCCTTCAAATAGGTGCTCACAAAATAAAACAAACAACGAAAATTAAATATTCAGGCGTTATTCTTGACGAGCAACTTAACTTCACACCCCACATCAAATACGTCATGGATAAAGCTAAAAAGACGTCCAACGCCCTCATTGGTATTACTAGGAACATATGAGGCCTTGGCCCTACCGCTACTAAGCTTATTTACAGGGGTACAATTCAGCCAGCACTCATCTATGCCGTACAGGTCTGGGGCCACTTGGTCGCCAAAGTCCATAACCATAAAAAAACATTATCTGTTCAAAGTAGTGTTGTAACGAATAGTATAATCGGCCTCAGGCCGAATACCGAATATTCGGCCAAACTATTCGGCTCGATTAACGCACACGAAAATTGGCGCGCAAACCGCATTATGGCAAGGATCCTGCTCTCTATTGGTCCGCTGTCACTACGCTTCGCCAATCCTGTTAATTCTTGGCAGTTGTAGCGGATAGACAAGAGTGTCATGGAAGTGTGTGATAAATGATGATATCAAATGTGAATAACAATGAAATGACCTACACGTGTAAATAACGAAAAAAGAACAGAGAAGGAAAATGTGAAAACAAATAAGAAATTGAGTTGATAACATAATCGAACAAGTCGAGGCAGCTTATTGGCACCAAATTCGCGGCCGTCAATGCCAAACAATTGTTGTCATAGACTTCGAAAAGCTAATGCTTGTAACGAAAGTCACTTAGCATGCACGGGCGAATGCCCGGGGCCGTTGGGGCTATCGAGCTCTCTCGAATCTGTGAAATTATAACTGTGACTTATATCGACGTCCTATCTATCTTTTTTCTCCGTTATCACCAGGCTGTCACGTAATTGTAAAATGGGAACTCTACGACAGAAAAGTGACGAATCGAAAGTATCGTGAGCGCGTATTATGATGTATGCACAAACATACGTGGATTAGAGCGATAGAGGAAAGAGAAAGGGAAGAGCAAAGACGAGCGCTTAAAAAGCTTAGGCAGGGTCAGACCCTCAGATGTGCGACGATTCTCCAACGATAGACGTGTACGTGTGCTGATCTTTGTAATTATAAATTGTTAATACGTGTGACTAATATTATTTTCTTTTTTATTTTGTGCATGTTACAAGTTATAAATAAATACTGTATAAACAAACAACGCTAACCTGATAACATTAAATCTAAATACCAAAATGATTAATTTACTGTGTTTTTGTTATTTATTACTCCTGCTTTTAGGTATTCGGCCGAATAGTGAAAAATAGGCCGAATACCGAATAGTAACCGAATATTCGTTACATCACTAGTTCAAAGTATTGCAGCTCTCCACATTTGTAAGGCTTATAGGACCGCACCCACTAGTGCCCTTTTAGTCACCTACATCAAGTACCTCCTCAAAAATGAAGCTATGAACACCTGGCAAACAAGATGGAACAACACTGAAATGGGAAGGATAACCAAAAGCTTCATCCCAAGTGTTTCTCATAATAACCCGACCATCCTCCACCTTGATACTAGCCTTGTCACCCAGTTTCTAACTGGCCATGGCAAGTTTAATAGCTACCTGGTGAGATTCAATAAATCAAACTGTGACCATTGCCAACTATGCAGTGTGCTGGACAGGGTGGTGCACTACATCTTCCACTGCCCCATGCTGGAGGATGCTGGTGCACCCATTCGCATGCTCCTACCTACTGATAAATCTTGGCCTTGTCAACATAGTGACTTGCTGATGAATGACGAGTTGTTTGTGGCCTTTCTGAAGCTGATAAAGAACTACTTCCGCAAACTCCTGTCAACTGAGTAGTGGCTTCCATATTCCTTACTGTGACCTTCAACTGTGTATATTTACGTATAGTTCTTAGTTATATATATTTTTACTTATTATTTTATGTACAGTAATACACCCTTTTATTGCACATCTTGTTTGTTACTGTACATCATTGTATTCACTGTATGCCAGCACCTTATTCTATGCTTGTCTTGCTGGATGTAAATTCTGTATAATTTTTATCCTACCACTCATTTGACAAGATGGATTACAGATATTATAAAATCAAGACTGTTTCCCTGTATCTTGTGCATTTTGTTTGTATTTTTGTTTCCACTTCGTTGTCATGTCAACTAAATTGTATTATTTATACGACTGCTGTATGTTACTTACATTGTATGTTTATTGTAATCTGTACTATCTGTAATGTATCTACACCATTCACATGCTTGTATGTATATATAGCTTGCTTTTGTATGTTTTTCATATTTTACTTTATTTTATTGTTTTTATTCTACTGTTCATATATCAGCTTATCTTGTAATACTCTGTATAATTTTTCTGTTGTAACTGTACATCATACCTGGTTGTGCCAATGGAGTACCAGGTCTATGTGTACTAATAAAGTAGTAGTAGTAGACCAAAAAATTAACCTATTCAATACAACAGGACTAGATGTAGATGAGCAGGATATTGAGGAGTTACTGCAGATTTCTGGTGAGAGCCTTACCTACAATGACCTTCAAGAACTGGCAGTTTATTTGTTTGCTAAGTTATGACAATGCAACACTTAGGTAATCTGCCTAAGGGAATGCCTTCTGGGAGGTCTTTTAAGGGAAACTGGCCCCTATTTAGGTGTTACTTACATGGAGAAAACCCAGAAAACTTCACATGGCCAGCCTAACTCCCAGTGTTCAGGGTACGAAGACCACTTGGCCACTGGAGAGCTAACAAGCACTGGCAGAACAAGGAATTCATGTAGAACTGGAAAATAGAGATTCTGAAAAAGAAGAACCCAAACAATTTCTCTACAAGATTTGCTTAGTAAAAGTTTGGTAAGATAACCGAAATTGTTGATCAAATTGTAGGGAATGATCCAGATTTTGAAATGAAAGCAAAAGCAAGACGAGGCATCTTGGATGCAATCTTCTGCTACCGATGTTTGCTTAAGGAGAGAAAAAAAAGCGACAAATGACACTACACAACTTTATCGTAATAACGAGAATTTCAGAAGAGCCGTTCAGAACCTTCGTCACAAAAAATGAACTTTACATTTCTGTTATGTAATATATATTATTACACAAATATAATAAAAATGACTTAAATTAAAGTTAAATCTGTTTATTTTTGGTTGCGTGTTTTCCTAATCACTATTTATCGTGTTAAAATGACCTCGTTTAACACTGTTTCGTTTAGCGCTTTGTCGTCTAGAAACGCATCCCCCGCATTAAGCGGGGTCTTATTTTATGAATATTTTTTATTTGTGATGTTGGAAAACTCTATTTTTACTTATTTTATGTTGTAGAATTTAAAAGATTTAAAAAGAAACCATTTAATTGTTTTTGAAAACAATTAAATGGCTTTCGAAAATTTAAAAAACAGGAATTTAAATGTAAAAATTACCAAAATTAAACAATTTTTTAAATCAAGGAAGGGTAGAAAACTTGATTTTAACAATTTACTGGAGCGGAATGAACTTGACCAAAACAGCGTGGAAAAAATTATCAAAAATTTTTGAAGGATGAGCATACCTAAAGTCCATCATTTAGAATAGGGATGGGCAACCTGTGGCTCGCATAAAATATGAGTAAATATATCAATTTTCCAGCTTAAGGAAGTATGCAGCAAAAATTCAAATGTTATTTTCTATAACTTATGTATGTGAATAGTTTTTCCACAATGAATTTAGTAAAAATTAAAACAAAAAACCGGCTAACAGACACATCGAAACTAATTTAAAGCTAGCAGTGACTAAAGTTTAACCAAATATTTCCAATATATTACATTTACATCAGTTTCGGAAGCTAAATTAAGTATACCTATGCTAATTTATAATTATATATGAATAAAGAATTGTGATTTATCAACATTTTCCCCTCTTTTCCCTTGTATGTGACCGCGTCAGTTCAAAAGTTTTGAAATGCAGCCCTTACATAGAAAAAGGTTGCCCATCCCTGATTTAGAAAATGAAAAAGTCTTGCTACAGCAGTAAATACATTTGTATTATCTTCCAATATACATCATTCCAGTCGATATTACCAATAGAAATATACAAATACAATTTTAAATTTGCAAAGTCCGCAAATTTCTTTCAATCGATCATAAAAGTCCACTTTAGCAAAGGAATCTGTGATGCCACTGCCTATGGGTCCATCCTCCACCTAAAACACAACAAATTTATGAAATTATTACAAAAGTTGCTTCTAGCCCTTGGTATTATTATATTAATTAAATTATCAACAAATTTAATTTTACATTCAGTTACTTTCATTTTAGAAATAATACATTAACCGAACAATTTTATTACTAAAACATTTGATCTAAACAATGGCACGTGATCGGCTAATCTGATCGCGTCTGGGTATGTGGGCTTGTTAGAAATAAAAGTAACACGAAATATATCTCTTGGAGAGTCTGGTGTCTACAGTTAACACTTGTGATTCTAAAAACAAAAATTATATCTATTAATATATGTAAATGGGTCCCATTAAAATTATTTTTCATTGTATTTACATGCCTGAATACATTAAAGATTGTCTCGAAATTCTCTCCTGGATCTGCAACGAGTAAGAAGTTGGCTGTTCGAAACATTTTGTGGGTTTCAGCAATTTTCCGTTACGTCCCACTCGCCGCTACCAAATACAGTTTCTTCTAATTTATCCACTGGCTGGTGCGCAGCATCTGCCTGCAAAATGTGAGACTATTGAAGATTGACCTCGTGTTTTATACACACACACTCTCTTTAGTCTGAAAAGTGCTAAAACACCGATTTGCCAGTTTTATTGGTCTATTTGACACACTTGATTGGAATTTCTGATTTCGTAATAAAGTTTAACATTTAGAAAGGATAGGCTTAGCCTCAAAACCCTCTTAGGCACTTTGCAATGTTTACATCCTAATCAGCAGACTATTCTTGTGTCTTTGCTATGCTTCTTTAACCAGTATTCTCAATACTCTTTTCAGTATTCTGACTTATGTAAATATTATCCAAACTAAATGCAAGATAACAGAATTTTTAATCTCTGTGCAGCATTCCTAAACAGTTTTTTAAAATTAAAATCATTAAAACTTAGCTAGAGACAAAGCTACAAAAATTCAAAAATGTAGATTCTCTAAAACTAAAAACTAGAAGAATGACAAAAAAAAAAAAAAAAAAAAGTTAAATAGTATACAATAAATCAGTGTTTTTCAACCTGTGGGTCGCGACCCCCCTGGGGGTCGCGGGTAGAAGAAAAAGACAAGTGTTTGTAGGTCCTACACTACATTAAAAAAACTACAATTTCAGCGAGAATTACGGCCCACCCCAGAAAATGGTAGCAGAAAAAGTGTTGAGCTGATTTGCAAAAGGAAATAAAAAGTAGAAAAGTAAAAGCTGAAAATTCAGATTTAAAAAAAAAAACGAAAAAAGAAAAAAGGTCAACAGTTCCCTGTGCCTAATGTTATAATTAAAGGAAGTTTCATACTTTATGTGTGTTAAATTATTGTCGATTCTTCCGAAATTTTCATTTTAATCAACAATAATTTGTCTCAACAGAAAGAAAATTAAATACAGTTTTTAAGATCACTGATATAGTTTTAATATGGCCCTAGGGGGTCGTCAGAATTTTTTAACTTGTAAAGGGGTCGTGTATTCGAGAAGGTTGAAAAACACTGCAATAAATAAATGCTGCTGTGAAAACTTAACTGTCTAGAGCAGAGGTGCCCAACCCACTGCCCACGGCAAGTTCCAATGTGGCCCAATAAACATGTAAACAAAACCTATAAAGTTTTTCGTTTTATTTTATTTATTTATTTCAGCAGCCTAAATTCAAAAAAAGAAGTTTCACAAAGCCGTAAACCTTTATACATACTTTATTTTTGAGTGGAAAGGAAATATTTTCAAATACAGTGGGTGATCGGTTAACGAACAGACCAGACAACAAATAAATCGGATAACGAACACTTTCGCGAAAGATATTTATGTTCGGATAATGAACACCCCACAGAACAAACACAAGAAGAAGTGATGTAAAATAATGAATACCGATTGGACTTTCCTTGTCTTCAGGCAACAATTCGAAACTTTTCGGAGTGTGGGAGATGTCGAAATTGACACTCAAGCCAGTATATACTAATCGGATAGTATTCCTTAGAAGTTTAAAACTCTCCCTTATAATTCCAGCCTTTTATTTTTATGACAAAATAATTCTTTTATGTACTTGCGAGACTGTTGGGTAAGCACTCATTAAGTTTTGTGTCTGTTTTTTTTGTAAGGTGAGAGTATAATAGCAAAAGTAAAGAGTGGGCAGAAGATGCCTGATGTTGCTGGGCAGTATGGTGTGAATGGGTCTACAGTAGGCCTCATTTAATTTTTTTTAAGAAAAATACTGTATAATCAAGAAGACTCAAGCAGCTAAAGGAGTAACAAAAATCACATCTGAGAAATATAGAACATCAAAGAGTTCATAATGGAACCTGAAACGGATCTGATGACAAAAGAACACCATGAACTCTTGAAGAACACCAAGAAACTCGACGAGGTATGTTTTCTTCTGAAAAAGAGGATTAATGCCAATATCTGTTATTAAAGATCCTTTGACGAAGTGTGAGGATGTCAGAACAACGGTCTTAGAATGGCATCCAAACCAGGTTGAGGCTTGGGGATTTCTACCATTGCCATGCTATTAATTACTTATAAAAAATCCTGAAGAAGAGAGAAAAGCAATCGACATTAGACAGATTCTTTAACCCTTTCAAATTGAAAAACCATGAGTAATAAAAATGCAAGACTGTGTATGTATGTATTTTTATTATTACATATAAATAAACATAGTAAAAAAGTATATATTTTTTATTTTGGGGGGTCTTCGGAACGAATTAATTAAATTCCCATTAAAACCTATGATAAATCGATAATCGGTTAATGAACAATTCGGATAGCGAACAAAGTCTTGGAACAGATTATGTTCGTTAACCGATCACCCACTGTACTTGGAAATATGTGAATGAGGAAGGAATACTAAATAAAGCTAAAGTTGAGACTCAAAGGATTATAGACCCAAATTTGGAGGGGGGAGAAAGGAGAGAGAGGCCAAAAGATAAATACTAGTGAGAAAGATTAAATAAACTTTCTGTTATGCAAATATCGACCCTTAATTTTCCAATCTTCCTCATTACTTTTTATCTTTTGTTCTTTCTCTCCTTTCCTCAAATTTGGGTCTATAATCCTTTGAGTCCCAACTCCAGCATTATTTAATATTCCTTCCAGAAGTGCATGATTTGGCTACTTTGCATCAAAGTTGGCTACCTTTTTTTTAGTTTGGTGTAAAAAATATCATTTGGTGCATTGGCTACTTTTTGGGCTACATATTACAGTCGATCCCCCTATAACGTGCGTTCCTATAACGAAGCAAAAAAATTGTAGCAACATTCGTATAAAGTACCTCCTATAACATCGTTTCGCGACAAGATTGATAGAATCTGGACCAATAGTGGATGAGCAGCCGAACTACTTTCCTCCGACCCTGCGCCACACTACGGAGCGGCTAAATTGAGTTTGCTATCGTCTGTACAGTATTATATATAAATTAGATACTGTACATATAATTATATATTAATTATATATAAATTAGGTACTGTATATATAATTATATATTAACTTAATTTATTGTAAGTTTATTATAATTATATATATGCTTTCTGCCGCCTGGCAACACGCTACGGAGATTTTAGGCTAGTAAGTTGAGTTTATTATCGTCTGCACAGTATGTAAATTAGGTACCGTAAGTCTAATACAGCACTAATTTTATACATTTCTTGTGAAAGAAACACTTCTTATTCAACGTCCATAAAAATTATTTATATTAATGATGTCTCCAAAGGTCAA